ATATCTATTATTATTATTATTATTATTATTATTATTATTATTATTATTATTATTATTATTATTATTATTATTATTGTAATTTTCTGTGTTTCTTCCAAATTTTAAGCGAAGAATAAAAAAAGGCAAAATTAAAAAAACTGTGTTCTGGTGTGTCGTAATTATAGATCTTATCCATCGGAATCACAGGACTTGTCTCTTTTAACTGCACTTATTGCATTTTCTTTCTTACTTTCTCGAACGTAGTGAAGTGTAACGTAGCTAAAAGAATAGACCATGTTTTTTTAGCATTTTACTTATTTTGTCGATATTTACAATGTATTTATAAATAAATTAGGTAACAAGCTCAGTTTATGTACATATTAAGTTTTAGATAAGATATGATATAATGTATGTGATAAGAGAGAAAGAGCGTTGCGTTGTTACTTGCGGATTATTATTTAAACGTTTTTTCACTTTTCTCAAAATAAAAATTGAAGATTCCTAAATAAAGCAACTACATTTGGAAATCAAGTATGTACATCTAATTTTAGAAAAAAATCTGCACTTTTATATTTTTTTAAATATAAACAATTGAAAAGAAAAAAATAAGCTAAATATAATGATGGATATATATTTCTGAATATTAGCAAAATTAATGTGAGATATGTATCAAAGATCATATTTTAAAAATTACGTGTATATATATATAATCAAATGCAACCATAATAAACTTTATATTAACGTAATTATCATTTTTACAACAAAATGATAAATTTTAAGTATTAAGTAAATTTTAAAATTGAAAGTAACCTAGAGACATTTTGACAATGAATACATGTCGATACATGCATATATGTATATGTATGTAGGATTCTCTGACATCATAAACATTTGGAAATTGAAGATTATTAATGTATCGACAAATGCGCCATTAGCTGAAAACTTAAAACTGATTACTCATTAAAGATACAAATTATAATATAAAAAGTAAAAATTATCTTATTTTTCTCTTTGTGTTAAACAAATCAGCTTATCTTGACTATCTTGTATACAAAAAAATATATCTATAAAATATATGCCAAAAATTGTCTTTCAGGCTCGTAGTTTTAATGGATAATTATAAATCGCGATAAATTATCTGCATAGATATCTATAATATTGTAATTGCAACGAAATATTTTTTTAATGTTGAAAATTGAGATTCTCCGAATCCACAGACATTTAGGAAGCTTAGGACTTGAAAATCTCAATATATTTATAAATGCAGAAAGATAAAGATGGACACAAAAAATCTTGGTATTTATAAATTTGAAAAATAATTGAAAGTTGAATAAGTGATAATGAGGATTTTAAAATAAAACAATATATAAAAATATTTTGCGTATAAAAAGAATTGCTTTGAATAAAAATAGATCACATATTTCAATCGAATTGTGTATCTATGTGTGTACACACGCGTTTTGTGTGTGTGTGTATGTGTGTGTGTGTGTGTGTGTGTGTGCGCGCGCGCGTGTGTGTATGTATGTATGTATATATGTATGTATGTAAATACGTACGTATGTATGTACAGTTTGCTTTATCAATCAGCGATTAAAAGATTATAATGTATATTGTTGAAATATCCGCTTTCTACAAGGCTATTTAATGTACCGTTATAAATAGTAATTTTTAGGTATGATACATGTTTGCTAATAATACAATAGTACGATTATTAAGCGTGCAATGATGTTATCTAGTTGTTTCATCTAGTTGATCACGGATTTATTTGTTTGTTTCTTTCACGGATAAGTTGAGAAAAATTTATAGAAATATTTAACGTAAGCTAAAATTTCGTGTCTTCTTTTTTTGTATTGCTGTAAAGACAAATTTAACAAACATATTAATTATAAACGTTATGTTACGTAACAAATAATTAAAAATATAGTTACAATTGTAATATTGTCGCATAAATAAGTATCACGAATGCATACATGAAGAAAAAAGTCAAACACTTGCAAAATACTTGAAAAATACTTGCATTTTATCAGAAAAGTACATACTTAATGATTACGAGAATATATACATCTTGTTATTTTTAATAACTATATCAACTATTATCGGATGCTTTCTATTTAGTGACACAAGTCAACAAATATCATTTTATCCTTGTTACTCATTGAATGCCAAGAAAGATAGAACAGTGCTTGTGTCGATCTGAATTACTAAATGGAAAACACCCATTATATATTCGCTAAAATTGTTGTAAAATTTTTTATATATGCAAGAAGTGAATGTCGGTCTAACAAATTATCATTCACATTTTACTTCACAATTTTTATTGCGGTAATACTGCAATAGTATCTTGTGATGTTTCGTAATGTTTCTCTACAATATCTACAATGTTTCCGTAACATCGCATCATAATTTACAAGATTGCAATATTAGGTGAATTTTTTAATTCATCGATTAATAAATCGCATTATGCGCAAATGCTTTGCTCTGTAAAAGCACTTGCGCATTATACAATTAATCAATCGATGAATTAAAACAGTCATCTATTACTATAACATAAATAAGGATTCTGTGCTGCATGAAATCCAAATATGTGTAATTTGACATCAGGTAAGTAGAATTTATTTAATTCCAATATAAATTATTAATCCTATCTAAATTGTCTTTATTTCAAAGTATGTATAAATTTCTTACGCTTATATTTATTCTAATAATGTTTGTTGAACAGTTGAAAATTTTTAGGCTTTGCTCATCGAGATACCAGGATAATGGGGATATCGATTAAAACGTTTTTCGTTTCATTAAGCGTATCGCTTCAAAACGATAGCATGTATATATATATATGCCTCGTCCATTTTTTTCACTTTGCGAATCTTTACATTTTGACACAATTTCATTGTCATATTCTAAGAAATTTTTTATAAAATTTGATATTGTGTTGCGAATGTTTCAAATTTTTCATACTTTTGATGAAATTTGACATTTTTAATGAAGATACTTCAATCTCTCTGAACGAACAATTATCAATTAAGCATGTTTTTTTTACATCTTCAAATCAAATGTACATGGACACATAATGAAAAGATAGATTAATTTTACATTCTGTCTCTGTGCTCTATTAAATTAGAAAAAGGATCTTTCTGTCAGGAGAATTTCATTATCATGAATCATATTCAAATCTTTTGCTCCCAATAAAATCGGAATGTCTCTTGTTCTCGAGAAAAAAGAACATACGCTAGTATAGAGAAAGTAAACAAATGAAAGTAAACAAATTTGCTATTTTAATCTTCGACAAACATGTGATATTATATTACTTTTTTAATAAAATAGTATTATTAATCTTTCGATAAACAAACTGTGTCTGAATATTATTTAATCTTTATACTATTTAACTTTATACTTATTTTGGTTTTTTGTATAAAAAATGGACTATATTTTCAACTTTTTTTTTATACAGATTGTTTTAATTTGATCGTACTTTCTTCAACTTGTAAATTTCGTGATTATTTTTGAATCAATTTTTCAAATTTATCAAAACTTTAATTAGGGAAGGAAAAATAGAAAAAAAGAATAGAAGAAAGATTCCTTTCTCTTTCTCATAATTTTTTAAATATACAATCTTGTATATTTATCAGTAATTAAGCCTCAAATTATAGTTTATTGGATTTGTTAAAATCCATTTAAAGTCGTCTAAATCTTTAAAAACTAAATTTTTTTATTAACGAGTCCAAATTTACTTCTTGTCTAGACTTTGGTAGTATTGCACGAGTACTTGCCAAGCTTTAGGTGCCATGAAGCCATTTGGAGGATTCTGACCTATCTGTGCTAATCCTGTAAATACAAAACAATTAATGATCTTGAAAGGAGAACATGGAGTCATCACAAAATTTCGAAAGTTTCAGTTTTTTGAGAGAAAAGGACCATAGAGATAACTTGTAAAGATCCTAAAACATCAATCGTATGAAACAAAAGTAAAGATCAACTGGTGAAGAATTACATTTTAATTTTCTTCATTAAAATTAAGTCTTAATTAAGCCTTTTTCTTCGCCTTTTTATTTTGTATTTATTTTTGGTTTCATATTTTTCATGTTCAATATGTGTCAATTTTGTTTAATATTTTGCTTCTATTACTTATCTATTTTATCTATTTTAACGCTATTAATTTGTCTTAATCATATATTTTAAGGGGAATATTAAAAATTTACATATTCCAATTAAGAAAGAAGAACCTACTTCGCATCTTTGTTCCCGAGATGAATTCAAAGTCTTGCTTGCGCTCAGATTCGAAGAATGCCATCTTGCCATTCCGGATGTCATATGCGGCCACTTTGAAGGGAATGATCTCAAGACTGTCAAGACCTCGCGCCATGGAGAGTACCCTGGCACCATGAGTGGGATCGTACAGATTGCCGTCGGGAGTAGCATCTTTGTTTGGGTGTGGTATACCCGCAGGATCTCTACCTACAATGTAGAAATTTGCACCAGCGTTCATCCTGGCCTTTGCATGCCATTGCACCTGTATAAAAACATAATTGTATTTATCTCATTTACATTCGTCATTTGAATTCGTCATGATTTAATTGACAAGTATAAAAAGATAAACATAATGCTTGGGATTAAAACAGAGATGTAGTCAAGGATAGAAACTAGGCCAAAACAATTAAAAGTAAAACTATAATTGAAGTTAAATGCTCATAAAGCTTTCATCGCTGTAATTTTCACCTCGATCGGTCCAGCATACATCATCGGGCTGGGAAAGATGGCCAATAAGGTAGAATTGGCATCCAGCACACCCTCGTCCAGAACAGCTTTGTGTTGCAGAATTCTGGTGTACAAGGATACATCATCTTCCTTCGTCCAGCCACCCAGTGGATGCAGTAACAGTACCGGATTCTTAAAACCTCGCTCCTCCAACAATCGTCTTCTCGTATCCTTCGCGATAAATAATAACGTGTTACATTGACTATCTTGATACTTGGAAAGAGATGAAGCAACGACGCAATGTTTCTTCCCAGGTTATCTTTTCTTCGACAAAGATTGAGTTATACGATACGATGCATATAAATTTGAGACAAATGGCATACCTGCATGAGCAGCGCATGTCCGTTGTGAATAGGATTTCTTAGCTGAAAAGCAAACACGGCGTCGGCTTTCATTTTTCGACATCTGGCACGGATCTCGTTTGGCGTAAGTCTGTACTTGTCGAGTCCATCATGCCATCGAATCCTCTCTAATACTTCGAGATCGCCGCCCATCAGCCAGTCTCCAGAATCGTGAATCATCCTGACATAGGGATGACCTAAGTTATTAGTACCAAACTGCCAACTGCAACGCTCCTCTTTTCGATGGAAATAAAATTCCGGTTTTCGTAGAATGGCCAAATTCTTTTCCCTGTATTTCAAAGTTACAGCGAGAGAACCTTCCAAGAGACTTTTATCACGCACGCTTATTGCAAGGACAATTGGTACCGATTGATTTACTTCTTTGCCATCATGGAGTAAACATCGTAAGTGTTGGGCCTTAAAAGAGTTAAATCATTATACATAATCTGATAAATAAAGATGTCGTAGACAAAATTACATCGCTCGATTGCATATGCTCGGACGATGCGTATACGAGACACAACTATACTCCAAAGTCATACCTGAAGGTATTGATGTTCTCTCATAAAGCCTGTTAATGGCATTGCCCATCCTTCCGCCAGCACTTGCAGCCATTGCACATCGAGTTGACTGATCTCTATGCATGGTAGAGTTTCCGCTTCCATTTTTGCGGAAATTAGCCTGGAATCTGGCACGAAAAGCTCCCTGATAAGGTCCGATGGTTTTTCTAGCTGTGGAATGACATGATGCTTCTCTAAAAGCTCAATTACAGTTGAAGCGGACTCTTCCGGGGTACAATTCTCAGTTTTGACAACTAAGTCAGGTTTCGCGGGTCTCTCATACATTTGATCAATGCCGGTGAAACCTTTAATAGTGCCTTGGCGTGCTTTCTTGTAAAGGCCCTTAGTGTCGCGAGCTTCGCAAACTTGCAAGGGCGTATCTACAAACACCTCGAAAAAGGGTAAATCAGCTTCTCTATGAATTTGCCTTGCCATTTGTCTATCCTCTTCGAAAGGTGACACAAAGCTACACAGACAAATTTGTCCGCTATCAGCAAACAGTTTTGCTACTTCAGCCACTCTTCTAATGTTCTCCTTCCTGTCCTCTTTAGTGAAGTTCAGATTGCAATTTAGTCCACTCCTGACATTGTCACCGTCTAGGCCGTAGGCAGGAATACCATGATTCACCAAAATAGCCTCCATCTGGAACGATATGGACGTCTTGCCAGCACCTGAGAGACCAGTTAGCCATACTGTGCAACCACGAAAACCTCGAATACTGCCGATCGCTTGCCCCCGTTTTGCTCTGGACACATGATGTGCCTGCTCCGATACATTCGCACAGATCTAAAAGAATTTTCAAGACCACATATCCAAGTTAAGATACATTTCAACAATTTTCTTAAAATTTGAGGAGTATACAAGATTGTAACAACTTTTTTATTTCCACAATAAATAACACTCGTAGATGAATTATTTCCCAATTTACAATCTATATGTCATATTCTTGTATTAAAATTGACTATCAAGGACGAGATGAAATACAATCCAAAATGTTAATGCTCATATAAAATAAGATTGATTACATTTTAGACCATTTTTATTCCGATTCTTTTTCTTGTTTTAACATTTCCCGAAGAAATGAAATATAATTTTAAAACATTTGACAATGTTTTCCTCAGAATCAGAAGGCATTTTTTTTCGAACTTGAAAGTAGGAAATTTCAAAATGGAGTAGATTAAAAATGTAGAATAATCTTCATCTCTTTTTGTATTTTTAATGGATATGTTAAATCTTCTATACTAATTAAATTCGCTCTATCTTTTCTCAGTTGTTAACACAAGTCTTCTTAGCGTAACTGCGAAACTAACAAACCGTTTATAACATGTTCGATTTTGAAACAATATAATACAGTTTTTACAGATTTATCGAATTCGAAAAACATATCGAGATATCTTATAAAAAAATCATGCATACAGATAGAATCTAGAAAGATATCAGATAGATATCTAGAAAAGATATCAAACACTCGCACATAACACTCGATTACACAATATTATCAACATGATAACTCATAAACTCTCATTTCTAGCAACAAATACTTATCTTTTTCTCGTTCCTATTATATACTTTAATTATTTCAATGTGTCCAATATTTATTTGAACTTATCTATTTATGGGAGTGCCAATTTTCAAAAAGATTACACAGAAGGCAACGGAAATGACTATTTTTGTCTCGAAAAAATTTAAATTCCAAAAGATTCCGTTTCATGTTCCAGATAACACATACCTATCTATTTTATATTTTTTAATAAATCAATTTCTCTTTCTCATTGTGCGCGCATGTGAATGATACGTGTCATCGATACGAATCAACGAATATGCATTATGACGGACGAACGTCAGAACGATAAAATTCATATTTGAATGTACCGCCCTGAAATCTGCCTATTTCTATCTGCACTTGTGCTTTGCGCTTTTATACGAGATAAAAGAGATAAATTTGGATTTTGAAGAGAAGAAAAAAAAACAAGAAAAAAAAGATGTCACAGAAATTATAGAGAAAAATAAGACATATGAAATGTAGTAAAGCGAAATTGTATATAAGAGATTCAAACGAAATTGTATATAAATAAAGTATTTAAGCGAATATACATACAAAAGTGAATATGAAATATGCCATCTCTCTTACTTCAATTTCACACTGTGCAAGACGGAGGAAACGATACTGTACAATACACATACCATCATTTTTTACTCGGTGGAGACGTGACATCCCGCTCGGTACTGCTCGATGACATGATCGCAATTACTGACAAAATAGTAGTAGCTACTGATAGCAGTGGCGACTACTGATAATCAATGACAGATACGAGTCTACGGACATATACGTGGCAGTCGCGTTAATCGCAATCTGAGGTGGCCAAGGTGATATCCGGTGATATCGGATGACGATGATGCTTCGTGATGCTCCATCGTGCTCCATGGCGCCCCATGTCGATCGGTAAGGCGATTTATTAAACCGTCATGAAGTATTGCGGCGAAAGTGGCGCCGCGAAGCGCGTTTCCCGTGACTATCATGATGGACTCACTCAGATCTTAAGCCAGCGGCACACGATGCTTTTTTCCTGCTGATTTGCGTGCTCGTGTGAGCTCTTATCTCTGATTGGTATATTCTTTTGGATCTAAAAAAATATACCAATCGAAGACAAGAGTTCAACAAGCACGCGAATCCAGCTAGCAAACCAGCTAAGAAAAAAAGCATCGTGTGCCGCTGGCTTTAGCATTGCTCTCAATGCACGTATATAGCAGAGAAATGG